GGGGTGATCCTATTTGGAGACTGCTGAGTTAGATCATATAGGAAGTGCTTGCTGGCTTGCTATTTGAATAGATTACTTTTTCTAAACATGCAAAGAAGTTCAAAATGTCAACATATTCAAAATTGAACCAAGTTATTATCAAGCAGGAATCCCCGCTTGTCTGGTTACCCTAGAAGGTGCCACCCTAGGTTACCCTAACAGCTGGGTTCTTGATCGTAAGATCAATACATATAACAGAGGGGATAGAAATACCTCTCTACCCCACCTGTTTTTCAATGTCTCCCTGTGGTATTTTATTAACTTCAATTCACAGCATGTTATTTCAATATAACCAGTAAGTGATTCCAGATAGCACTTAGTACAACACTGATTCTTTTTTATTTTCTATATAAAGTTACACACACAAGACCTCTACCAAAGTGGTTATTCAGTAATCAAAAGTGATCCATACCGCTCTCTGCCATTTCAAATACATTTTATTAACCTCTTGGAAAGGGGCCATTTAAGCTGGCAATTTACCTTTGGAGCCCAGGAAGCTGGCCTGAGTAAATAAACCAGGGCAAACGAGTAGTTGGCGAGGCGTTAGCCCTTCCTCCCTCCCAGGCACCCAGGCTGCGCAAAAGCAATCCTTTTCTAATTTCTGTGGGGATGAAAAGGTATCTGTGTTTTCTGCCCGCGAGCACTTTCCTCCCAGAGTCAGCACTTGACTCAATCCCTGCCTAGGGGAGCCCCTTACCCAGGGGAGAGCCCTCTGGGTGCACAGTCCTATTCCCCGCCCTCCGACCGTGGTCCTGGGAACACATGCTGTGAATAACTGGGTGACTCTCCTGTGCAGCTGCAGTGACTCGATTTGGCTGCTCGCTGGTGCAGGAGTGGGCGGGAGCTGGGTGTCCGGCTCTTCCATGTGCAGCTACCCCTCCTTCCTCACAGTAAACCTAAACCTTGGCTGGACAGGGAGTCGTCAGCCAAACATATTTCTAATGCTACTTATGTAAATCATCAATTTTGCCAAGTCCTTAGAATTCTATAATCTTTAACTCCTTGTAAACCTTCATTTCCAATATGCATACTGAGCTCTGTTTTTGGTGGAAGACTAGAGCCTCTCGTATTCCAATTCTTTTATCCTCACTCTTCAAACTGCTGGCTTAATTAGCATCCAGATACTGAATAGTGAATACTGACCATTCAAAAATGTCAGAGACTTGTGGGTTTACTAGAGCTATGGCCAGTGATTGCAAAGCTTTGTGACACTGCAAGCTACAGGAGGACAAGGACCATCCCCACCGAGTGTACCACTCATCCCCTGTGCCTAGCAAGGTTCCTGCACACCGCAGATGCTAAGAAAATCTCTGCTGACTGAGCGAACCACATCTCAGCACCTCTCCAGAATGAATTGTGAGGGCGTTTCTCTTTGTAACGCCACAATATCTTCAGCGCTGCCAAGTTCCACGTAATGGCTATTTTTAAAAACTGGATGAGCCAACCTTAGAAATGCAGATGTTTGGGAAAGCAAGAAACATAGATGAATGAAACAAGTTTCACACTGTGCAACAGAATGTAAGAACCATCACATATATTTAAAATTATGAGTATATCTATGCATCTGTGTAAATGTCATGAAAATTTTTAAGTAGTGCTTTTAAATTGACATGTGTACTTTGCACATTTTAATTTGTTTTATTTATTTATTTATTTGTAGAGATGGGGGTCTCGCTATTGCCCAAGCGGGGTCTTGAACTCCTGGCCTCAAGCGATCCTCTTGCCTCGGCCTCCCAAAGTTATAGGATCATAGGTGAGAGCCACCACAACTGGCCAAAAATCTACTCTTACAGCAATTTTGAAATAGACAATACATTATCATTAACTATAGTCACCATGCTGTGCAATAGATCACCAGAACCTATTCCTCCTGCCTCCCTAAAACTCTGTACCCTTGGACCAACATCTCCCCTTTCCCCTTCCATGCCCCCACTGCTAGTAACCACCTTTCTACTCTCTACTTCTGTGAGTTCGACTGTTTGAACTGTAGTCCTTAGCTGCACTCTTTGAACACACGTATCAAACAGACCATCAATCTTTAAACAAAATCTCCTCCTGGGAAAGCCAGATGATTGTCTTTTATGAGGGCAAGTCCCAGAAAGACGGACTGTCCACAGGGCCCAGCAGCCCACACAGTCTATTCTCATCCCCTGGGGGCTCCCTCCACCCCACACAGCCGTGCCAACTTAACCCCAAATACAATGGAACCTGTTTTTGTTATTATCTTATTATTAAAGACTCTCTCATTCAACAACACCCAAAAAGAAAACAGAAGAGCCCGTAGTGTGCAAAGCTGGAATATAAAACGCCAATCCAACACCACCCTGCCAGGATAGGGTGACCTAGGGTGGCACCTAGGGTTCCAGCCGGCTGCTGAGAACACGTGGGAAGGAATTTCTCTTACCTCCCGTGGAGTAAGCTGTAGTAAGCACCGTCACCGACACGTTGTCAGAGCTTCTCTGCCCGGCAGTGTCGGTCACGGTCAGCTGGAAGGTGTACGTTCCTTCCTGCAGGTGGGACAGCTTCAGGGTCCCTGATTGAGGAACCTGACACACAGATGACGACACATCATGTTTAGTGAGCAGATACCAGCATGGAGTCCAACACCACCCTGAACTGACATTTGTGTCCTTGGAGCAGTCCCAGGACCTGCCTCTCCACTCTGCTCTGCGGCTGCTCAACGCTAAATCACACCTATTTTGGCAGGTTGGCCCCACCCTGAATTCACTACTTCCAACAGCCCTCCACCCAACTCCACACTTAGTACCTAGTCCTTTCCTTCCCAGCAGGTGGCCTCACCGACTTCAAGGAGAAAATTCACCACCCGCCTACTCCTGGGAACAAACCTGTACCACCATCACTTCCTTCGGCAGCCCTAAGGGAGGAGCTGTCCCTCCCACATCCCCAACCAACCCCCTCCTTCTAGCCCTGAGCCTTTCTCTCTGCAACTTTTAGAACACTGACTCATCAATTCATTTCTCTTTCGAATGGCTCTGCTATTGCTATGCTCAAGCTTCTCTAGTCCTAAAAAACAAATTAACAAAACAACAAATAAAAAATTCTCGAAGCGCCAAGGTCTCTCCAGCCAAGCTGACTTCCTTTCCATCTCCACCTAACTTCCTGAAGTGGGTGGGGCAGCCCCACCACTCCCCTGACACTGTGTGGGCAAAACTCACTCATTGACCTGGCAAAAGTCACCTCCTTGTCAAAGACCAACAATACTTATTTGTCTTTTATAAAAAGGATTTTTTAACTGGACCTCTTACTGCATCTAGCAACGTTGGCCACTCCAGTCTTCTTAGAAACTCCCTGCTTCTGTGGCCTCCCTTTCTGAGTTCCCCCAACCACTCTTTGTCTTTGCAGATGCCCTCATGGCCTTCATTTCTGCTCACTCCCTACCCCGGGCCTCCCTCCTCAACCTCTGCTGTCCTCACGACATTTGCAGGCAGCTTCCTGACCATGGCAAGAGCAACAGTTTCCAAGGCCCAATTCTGTGGTGTGATTTTGAGAGTCATTCCTGGACATAGCCTTAAGATTGTTTCTTCAGCTCTCCTAATGATTCTGTGAACAGTTTAATATCCTATTGTTTTTTTTTTAAAAAAAAATCCCTTTCTGCTTAAATGAACTAGTCTGGATATTGTTCTCTGCAGGGGAATGCTGACCATTATACATTCTATTACACTGATGCATTAATGGGCTTTTGAAATTACAGAGGGTGGCACTATTACAACAATTATCTGCTTGCTTTTATTTATGAAATCCTAGAATTTAGACTCACCTTGGCTTAGAGGATTTGTCAGTACTACATATACTCACCAGCAGAATGCTTTATAATCATTCAGAGGCAATATAATGAGATACAGTGGTTGTCATATTTTACACTGCTTAATCATTACCCGGAGCTCTTGTTAAAGCATGGATTTCAGGGCCTTAGTCTCAGAGTCTGAGTCAGTGGGATCTGGGCCTCTACACTTGCCAAGCCCACTCAGGTGATCCACTGATCACACTGGAAGGAACACTGCTGACGTGGTAAGGCAACAGGCACTGGCATCCAACAGACCTGGGTTTGAATGCTAGCCCTACCACGTACCAGCTGTGTGACTGTGTAAAAGTCACTTACCCTCTCTAAGCCTCAGTGTTTTCATCTGTAAAATGTAAGTAATAATAGCACCCACCTTACGAGGATCAGCTGAGACAACTCATTAAAAAGAGCTTAACACAGGGCCCAGCCCATAGTAAGTGCTCAAATATATCCACTATCTCCTTTGTCTCCACCGGTTGGCTCTCATCTCAAGTTAACACTGCCCAGTTAATTTTTATAGACAGGGCAATGAAACCTCAGTAAAGTGACTTTCATTTGCTTAGACAGTGACAGAATTGAGGCCTCCAGTTATTAATATAGTAAAATCTCCATTGGCCTACAAGCTGTCCATCACTCTCCCTGCAAAAGCTTTAGGCTGGCAAGCTGGCAAAGACAGACACCTGTCCTTGGCTGTTTATTTCAAAGAGATATTAAGCAGCGTTCCCTGCCATGCTGTTTTATCACCTCCAGTGCAACTACACTGGGAGGGTACTAAACAAGGTCACTTACGTGAGTGCTAAAATACTGAGGGTAACAGAGAGAGAGACAGAGATACTGACAGTGAGATGACTTCAAAAGGCCTAGCGTGGGCAATTGATCCTAGAAGTCAGAACACACTGAGATGAAAGTGGCAGTCATTCTGAGAGCCATGGGGAAGATCGGAGAGTCAGGTAAGTAAGACTTAAAATGAGACAGGAACTGTGGTCTGCGACCTCAGGGTTGTATGTGGCACCTCCTTTCTTTCATATCTCAAATTCAATCCCTCAGGAAATCCCACTGTCTCTACCTTAAAACCACATCCAGAATTTGACCACTTCTCACCAGTCCATGGTTACCACCCTGCTCTGAGCCCACCCTGTCTGGGTCACTGCGATGGCCAAGAGACCCAAGCCCTGGTGGGATCAGGGCCTGGTGCCCCCTTTCTTCTGGAAACCCTCCCTCCCACCTCCATCCACAGTGAGGGGAGGGTCCATTATGACCTCTCCTTGTGGCCACAGGGGCGCCGGGGCTGAACCAAGGCACAAGTCTTAAAGCATGGGGCTGCCTAAGTGGCCGTGGCAGCCTCTGACTCTTTCTCACTGGCTCAGAATCAGGCAGGCCTTGCTGGGTGGTGGCAGTGCAGTAGGCTATACTGTCATTTACTGCCGCCTGGGATTTACGAACACAGGGGAACATGGTTGCAAACAATGAACGTACTGGAATGTGTCGTCATGAGGCCTTGCAGCCTCAGTCGAGTGAGGTGCTTTGACAGAGCAGCTCTGTCCCAGCTGGTCTGCCTGAAGACAGACAGGAAGCCCTTGGACTGCAGGCGGCAACCACAGGGACGTGAGTGGAGGGGGAGACTGCAGGCCTCATTCAGAGCAGGCAAGGCGTGTGTGACAGATGGATGCTGAGTCATGACCAGCTTCTGTGCGTGGCAATCAGAGTGGAGCAGAGAGGAAGTTAACACAGATTTAAAAAAAGACCAAGAAAGCCCTGGGGCTGGGGGCTGGCGGGGCCATGCACAGGGAGACCGATGTCCCACCTGGGGCCTGTGCCAGGAGAGTGAGACACTGGGCTTCTGGGCATCAAAACACCGCATGCCAGTGTCGAACCAAAACTCCGCAGGCCTGGGGGCCACTGGGAAGCCTCTTCCCAACACTGGGGTGGGCAGGACAGAGCGTCCCTGGGCAAGGGGCCAATCCCTCCACCTGGACTTCGCAAGCTGCCCCTCCTGCCTGCCCGGGTACTTCCTCCCTGACACAGGAAACACTGGATCCAGATACAGACCATAATAATCACCTTCAGCCTCCTGAGTCCACTCAAATTTAGACCTATTCAGATTAAATATCCCTTCCCCATCTCTTCTTATTCATTTAGCTAACAAAAACTGACTTATCTCAAAATTGGATATTTGGAATACATAGAACTGTAAGATGGATGCTTTCCCTTCAAGGGCCCGGCTGATCCTTCTAGACATTTTCACATATTAATACGACATTGGAGAGAGGATTTAAAGGATTTCACAAATGTGTTCCAAGTTTTAGGATAAAACAATGTAAATACATATGCATGTACACACAACATACTTAATTTGTAACTTGGAGAGAGACATGATTTACATTTAATAAAACAAGGAGTTTCTAATTGCTGCCTGAGATCTCTGTTCAGCAGTCACAGAGCCTTTGGTGGTTGGCCTCTGGCTAAATCGCTGCATGACCCAGCCTGCTTTTCTGACTCTACCCTGTCTCCCTAGCTAGGAATTCAGGGGCTAGGAATACATGTTTGAGCTTTACATACATACACATACACACACACACACACACACACACACACACACACACACAGAGTAATATACACATACACACTTACCACTGTATACACCTAATTGTAAAATAAGTAATGCTTATCTATTTTAAAAAAATATGTACAGCAGGTAAGCCAGGGTGCGAGTGGTTTTGATTTAATAATGAAATTATTGGTGTAAACAATATCCATCCTTTAGTAAGATTCCTTATGTGTGGTATTCTGTAATCACTGCTACAGACTGACTGTGTGCCCCCAAAATTCCTATGTTGAAACCTAATCCCCAACGTGATGGTGCTTCGAGGTGGGGCCTTTGGGAGGTGCTTAGGTCAGGAGGGTGGTATGCTCATGAATAAGATTAGTGCTCTTATAAAGGAGCCCCCAGAGAGCTGCCTTGCCCCTTCTGCTATGGGAGGATACAGTGAGAAGACCGCTGTTTACAAACTAGAAAGTGGGTCCTCAGCCGGGCGAGGTATCTTATACCTGTAATCCTAGCAATTTGGGGGGCCAAGATGGGAGAATTACTTGAGGCCTGGAGTTTGAGAGCAGCCTGAGCAAGAGCAAGACCCTGTCTCTACTAAAAATGGAAAATATTAGCCAGGCATGGTGGCTCACGCTTGTAGTCCCAGCTACTGAGGAGGCTGAGGCAGGAGGATCCTTGAGCCCAGGAGTTAGAGGTTGCTGTGAGCTATGATGATGCCACTGCACTCTAGCCTGGATGACAGAGTGAGACTCTGTCTCAAAACAAAAAAAAAAAGAAAGAAAAAAGAAAGTGGGTCCTCACCAGACACCAAATCTGACTGCATGTTGATTTTGGACTTCTCAGCATCCAGAACCATGGGAAATAAACTTCTGTTGTTTATAAGCCACACAATTACAGTATTTTGTTAGAGAAGTCTGAATGGACTAACACAATCATTTAATTAAATAATTTTAAACATCTTTTGAATGTAAATCAATCCACTGATTTATGAATTCCAAATCTCCCTGAACATCCTTGTAACTCTGAATCATATTCCTAAATGTCATATTTTACAATCTGACTTCAGATTCGAAGGTATTATGTTTAATAATCATGAAAGTCAGTGTCATTTAATGGGCTGCCTGAAAAATGTGTCTTTTTGCACTTAAGAATATATTATAGATTAATATTCAGTCAAATGGATATAGAATACCCTGTTCAAGGGCGGGAAATATTTAACTTTAAGATCTAGTGGGCAGCCGCTTGGTTCTGACCCATCATTCCTTCTTTCTTCATAAATGAAGAAGATAAGTCAGGAAATGAGCTTTCCTTTACGCTTAGTCCATGTAAAGTGCCTGGTACAGTACTGGACACACACTAGCTGCTTAAAAAAAGTTAGCTATTAATTTTATCATAATTATTTATCATAATTATCCTTTTAGGGTGAGAACCTCATTGATTTTTGTTGTTGTTTTTTAAATACTTGACTGGGTCACTTGGATGTGAAAGGATAGGTTCTAGAACCTGGTCTTAAATTATGGCAAGACAAAGCAAGGGATGACTTCTGTACCCCAGAACAGAGAGGGGTGAAGAGCCTGTGCAGATGGTGGAGACGGGAGACAAGCCAGGAGAGACGGGGCTCAAGAAGGGGATGGGGTGGGTGCCCAGGGGAAAGCCCCGCCAGCAGGGGAGTCTGGGGTGGTGGGGACAGTCAAGGGGCTTAAGAACAAAGGAATCTAACACAAGGACTTAACTCAATTGCTTTGCCATGTGGGGTTGTGACTTCATGAAGGGGCTGCCCTTCCTCCATTCCCAACACCCTTCAAGGTCAGCCCGTTTTGCAGCCTCAAGGAGGAACACATTCACATGCCAAGTCAGCTGGATACCATCCTCAGGAAAAAGGTGATTGGAGCAGTCAGAAATTTTAGGGTGTGAAATCAGGCTGCTCAAGTTAAAGCAATCAGAGGGGTGGCCTCTGAGGGCGGTTAAGTACGGTTAAAGGAAGATTCTCAAAATGGTAAAACCATGACTCTCACACAAATATAACATGAGCATGTCTCAAAGATTTTATTTAACTCATTAAGTAAAGAGGGAACCAACAAGGTGTTCAACTGATTCAAAGGAGAATCTAAAACTAGACATATGAATGACAAAAAGAAGTTGCAAGTGGTTGCAAAACTGAAACGGGTTTGCTAGTCAGTACTGAAATGGAATTATTAATAGATTGGTTAGTATCTATGGTACCAAAGTGCCATGTTTGAAATCCTCTTTTCTCTGATGTGAAAATCCATTGCATGTACATACAAAAGAATTTATTTGAATTTCTATGGACAAGAATCATTTGATTACTATCAGTTATCTACAACTTATAAATGCTAACCCCAGAGGATCCACTAGCCAACCCCCAGCATTCCACTGAAAGGTATTCAGTAATCTTTCACCCATTTCAAAGTCTTCCACGATTTTTCCTGACAATCTTAACCCACAAAATGGGAATGAGCCTACATGTGATGTTGTTTTGAGGATTACAGATATGTCTACACTGCCTGGCACTCAGTGGGTGCTCAATCAATGGTGGCTATTACTATGATGAAGTCATAGCAGGATGAGTTTACTCTTGGGGACATTCAAGAATGTACACCATTATAAGAGAGTCACAATTTGGAAGCAGATGGCTCCCCCTTTGTTACTTAGATGATGGCTTCATAACTTTAGGTTTATCTGCCATTGCTATTGTATACGTGGTTGGGGATGTGTTCTCGAGTTTTCTCTTGATGGCATAGCACTCAGTCCTAAAAGTATATAAGAAATACCTAATTTTATCAAATGCTTTTTCTGTGTCTATTGGGATGATCATATGGTTTTTGTCCTTCATTCTGTTAATGCGATGTATTACATTTGTAATTTGTATTGAACCATCCTTGCATCCCTAGGATAAATTTCACTTATCATGGTGAATGATCTTTCTAATATGCTGCTGGATTCAGTTTGCTAGTATTTGTTGGGCAGAGAAATATCTACTTTTTTCACTCCTTTATAAATGTCTTCAGTACATTAAATGTTGAATCATCACCATTATTTTTATTCAGCACTCATATATCCAATTCATCGGTTACAAAATAAGGCTTTTAGTAGTAAGTATGAAAAACTAGATGATGATAGAGGCAAATTTGCAGCTGCTTGAACAGATATATCCCAGAGGTGCCAATTAATAGTCAGTGTCCATTCCAAGGGAGCTCTCTAGTGGTATGATCAGTGGTTATCCATACATCTTTCCTGATCAACAACCTTAATGCTCAAAATTTCAGTTGAGATATATTACTCAATTCTGCAGCTGACACAAAGCATAAAAGGATAATAAACATGATGGATGACACTCAAAGTTCAAAATTATTTCTGTTGTAGGTGAAAACCAAAAGCTAAGATGTAAGAAGGATAAATAGAAGGTCCTGCACTCAGGTTCAATAAATCAATTACACAAACACAGGATGGAGAGGCCATGACAACAGCAGTTAATGTAGAAAGATGAAGCAGGTTGCAGGCAATCTTGCTAATGGAACACTCAGCATGAACCTATTGTGTGATGTAGCTACTAAAATAGTTAATGTAAATTAAGCTCATTAACAGAAGAGGCAATGTCTGGATCACAGGAGGTATTGGCTGTGTCTGGAAGAACCACAGCTTAAATATGGGGTTCAATTAGGCGTATCAGATTTTTAGAAGGACATGAATAAATTAATCCAAAAAAATCCAGACAAGGCTGGATGGTGGTCGGTGTGAAAATCAATTCATATGAGGAACATCTGAAGAACTGACGGTGTTGAGTTCTGAAAAGAATATAGCAAATGGTCATGTTCATTTTTTCAAAGACTTCAAAGGCTTTCACACAGCATACAAAGACGTGTTCCATGTTTTGCCAAGGGGAGGACCTGGCATCAACACACAGAAGTAACAGGGAGGCACATCTTGTTTGCCTAATAATTAGAGCTGATTAACCATGTCATAGGACATGATGTGAAACAGTGAGTTTTTGTCCTTGGAAAAGTCAGGCAGAGAGCAGATGGCCCCTGGAAGGGATGATGTAGAAGGGGCTCTTGCCTGGATGAGAGGCTAGGTAAGATGTTGAATAAGGGTCCAGGCCAATTCTAAGACTATATGATCAGTGACTAAAATCAGTGTACTTAAATTGGAGTTGAGGGACTAGTTGATTATTGTTTTTGTTCCACTAGAGTATAAATCAGTGCTTCCCGACCTCACCCTTTCTCCACCTCCTCTAACTGAAGTGGTTTGGATGAAGTCTGTCTAAGCAGGGAATGCTCCGAACTAGAAAGGGTCCTGACAGGGCTAATAAAGAGCCACTTGTCTCAAAACTCAAGATCCCCTTGGTGTAGGCAGCCACTGGACCAGTGGCTCATTTCCACCTGCAGCAATCCACACCCAGACAAGCCTGGCCAAGAACAATGGGGAGTGCCTGGCCAGGACTTCTCATGTCCCTCCCCTCAGGCCTGACTGCCAGGGAGGATGTTTACTTTCTGGGTCATGTAAAGCATGTGTTCATTCTATTGTTATTTTCCCGTTTAGACCCCTTATATTTCAAATTTTCTACCAGCATCTTGAGCTAAGAAAAAGAAGAAATAAAACTTTAAAAAAGTAATCTGAGTCATTAAAACAAAGCACGAGTCTTTTTTCTTGAAGTGTTTTTGTACTCTGGAGAAGTCAACAAACAGCAGCAAGAAGAAGGGTAAGCTTCAAAACAAATGATCAAGATCACTGTTCACTTAGTAGGAACGTAAATTTATGGAACAAACCATTTTGGACAATCAATTTTATACTTTCTCTCTTTTATACCTCTTCTGCTAGGTTGCAGACATTTGGGGAACATTAAGTGGCAGGATATTATGAAAGAGCACTTCACCGAAATACCTGTTTTCATTAACAATGACAATATGCATTACCTTCATGTCCACTGATGGGTCACCCTGCAGCAGCGCCCACTCATACTGGACAATGGCATGGTCATCTGTGCTCTCGCGGCCATCCAAAACCACCCCGTCTGTGGGCAGATGCAAAACCACATCCTGCCCGGCCTTGCTAAGTGGAGGCTCATCCTCTTCTAAGAAAGAAAATAAATAATTCATAAGAGAGATGATTCCTTATTTTTTCTAATTTATGAAGAGAGGTATCTTGTTAGCTGAATAGATATGGTTCAGTAAAGAACTGCTAAGAGAATGTATATTAACTGGAAACTAATTTTCTACTGATTTTCATTGTGTCTTCTTTACATAACAATAAAATAGCAATATATTATGAATATGGAATTTAGCTATAATACATGCAGAAGAGGGGTGTGGAGTGTCAGCTGGTAGCAGTAGCTATGACAAAGTCCTGAGTACAAGACAGTGTACTAGGGCCCATTAATGTGTAAATCTGGAGAAGTAGTTTTATTCCCTAGAGATTTTTTCCACTTAATTTAAAAAGTACTTAAGTTCAAAGTTCTATTAAATGAATTTACCAAAAAA